GTTATTTTCCTTTTTCCCCTACAAGCAATATTCCTGCGACACATCACCACCTTGTGGGGGTACTGTATAAAAAACAGAAGGGAATTTCAGAGATGGAATAGGGATACCCTGCATACAGTAAATATCTGTTACAGTAAATATCTTCTCTTACTGTACATACTGTTCTGTACATATTTGTGAAAATTCAAGTTTTCTTGTTGGCTTTGTCTTGCTACCCTCAGTTCAGTTTGTGTCTTTTTTACAGAAGTCCAATTAGAACGTGTTGTAAGTAAGATTAGACTAGGAAAGGTCATTACTCCCATATTGATTAGCTGTTAGTAGCTAACGCACTAGGGAATCTCATCAAAGCACTTCTTGAACGTTATCTTCAACAACATACTGTAGGTGAATACTAGCCAACCACTACTCCCCCTGTAATTCAGGATGACCTGAAATGCAATGGTAATTTTTACTCCGCATTCCTGGTCCCTGTTTTCTATCTTGTGCTTATCTATCCTTTGGTTCAATTTGTCAAATCCACTGCTGATTCTGATAATCCTTTCTTTTCATAGCCCATCTTGTTGTAGATTGAAGAGATGAAGTTCCTTTATCCTGACTATACTGTATATGGTATTTCCTTTAAGACCAGAACCTGCTTTTCTGTGAACTAAAGTTAAACATTTCATTATTAAGACTTGACAAGTGTTTTTAAATACGTTTAATGGATGCATTTAAAATCAGCTCTTAATACTTCTGTATTAGTACAGTACATCACCATGTACAGGTGTGGCCCTTGGATTAGGAAAACTAGGCTACTGCCCCCTCAATATGCAACAGTTTTTTAAAATTCAAATGTAAAAAAAAAAATTCCCTCCAGGGGCTCTTTCTGTTGCTGCTAATCTAGCCTGTAAGAATGATAATATTAATAGTTTTGAGTGTAAGTGTAGTGGTTTATTTCACTATTGATGTAGTAAATGACTGTTGCCATAAGATGTGGTTGCCATAAGATAATATCAGTGTGGCTTCAGCTACTGCTACACCTGCTGATGAAATTAAATTAATTAAAATCATGTAGTTGCAACTGGTAAACACACTTTGTCCTCCAAAAGGAAATACCTATCGGGCACTGAGAAAAGGAAGCACAGAAAAGAAGAGAAGAATATGCAGAGATAAGCCAAATCAAGTTGTTTTTCATTTGGTTTTAAGTAAATCATGAGGAAATCATCTCACATTTAATATATCAGAAACTGAAACAGAGCCTGTAGTTTTATATTACAACAGATTGTTGTAGTCTAGACTTAAATGTTGAATTAAAAGAAAAACATTCCACAGAATAATAAACCCAACAAAATTCTATGTGTGTAAACTGCACACACTCAAGGCAAACAGGTACAGGTGCCGTGGTTAGATTTTTAATTTATTTTATTTTTTTAGGACATACAGATAATTGTTGATCCTCACCACCCCAGTATAGGGTATCCAGTTTAAATCATAAAACTATATTAATTCAATAATTAGTCATCATATCACCAATACATTTTGAGTGTGGATATACAGTATAATGTGGTACTGTAGGTCTGTGCTTTTCGGCATGTGGCTCAGGGGAACTTTGCACATAGTACACTATGAACTCAGATGGACATTATTCCAGGAGGATTCCTGGTTTTAATTTTTAACAAGACAAAAAGACTTCTTAATAAAGTAACATAAACAACTACAAAATAAGAACTTCAATTACTAATCTTAAGTCCCACACATCCTTACATACACAAGAACCCATGTGAAAATGCACCTGTTTCTAATCATTACTCAATAATGATTAGAGTAATGAGGGGGTGGAGTGGTGGCACTGTGGCTAAGGATCTGTGCCTATGGCTGGAAGGTTGTCAGTTCAAATCCAGCAGCCGGCAGAGGAATCCTCCTCCGTATGGCCTCAGAACAAGGCCCTTAACCCCAACTGCTCCAGGGGCACTGTACAATGGCTGACCCTGCACTCTGACCCCAAGCTTCTCTCCCTGTCTGTGTGTCTGTGTCTCATGGAGAGCAAGCTTGGGTATGCAAAAAGATGAATTCCTAATACAAGAAATTGTATATGGCTAATAAAGTGATCTTATCTTATAGAGCTTTTCTGGACACTCCACCCAAACCATGTACAGGCAATGGGGCTCCCCTCCACTACCACCAATGTGCAGCATCCACCATTGGTAATGTTTGTCTACAAATTGTAGATCTGAATATAATTAACTTGGTTTAAGGTGTGGTAATGAGAATTCCACTTCACTAAAGGTTGAAGTTTACTGTCAGAAGTTGTCACTACATTAAAGCTTGGCGATGGTCAATAATGTTCCTACAGTTGATTGAAGATTCAGAAAGCCTCATACATCAAAAGTAGGGTTAAAGAAACATATATAAAGGGTGTTAAAGTTAAATTTGAATTCTAGTATACTAATATGTTCACTAATTCAGACACATTTGAAGTAAAATGTTTAAGCCTAAAGCATTCGGGCTTTGATTAAGATTGAGGATGGGCAGATTACTGTACATGTTTATGCATGCAAATTGATTAATGCTCACATTGTCATAACAAACTAAAATTAGGTGTGAATTCTAATAATTTCAGAGGGAATACTGTATCTTACCTTTTCATAATATCATAATCAAGCAGGCTAATCAGTATGGTCTAATATACTGTATGATAGTGGGTTTAAACTGGTGTTCTAGTACACTTACTGAAAAGCAAGGTCAAGCAAATTCTAATAGAATCTGCTGTAGGGTTTTCTTTTTATTGGTACAGATTATATATGAAATACTGTACTTCTAAAAAGCTGCTGAAATAGCAATGTTGTTTAAATTGTCCATTTTTTGTAATTAATGGTAACAGGTGGGCATTTTTGCTTATGAAACGTATTGTTTTCAGTTTTGAAAAGTGAGTAGAATGCCTTGGCATAATGAACAATATAGAAAGGCAACATTTCCATTCTGTTGCATTAATATACTTTTACAGATGCAAGTACTTTTGAATGGGATCTGTGGCTTAGGTGGTTTTGGTATGGTGGTGATACCATTTGTATTCAAAGCCATCTTGAGAAACCATCAAACGTTTTTTTATCATCTCATTATCTTACTGTAAAGTGCTTTGCAAAAGTATTAACCTATTTTCAATTATTTGTTTTCTTTGTTTTGATTTTGTTGTATTAAGAATATACACATTATTTCAAAGTGAATATGTTGAATCAGAACTTGAATTTTCAACCTGAACCTGGTGAAAGAAGTTACTGTAAATGTCATCAAAATGAAACATCTATTATTAGTACAATACCTGAATTAATCTTTCAAAGAATAAGTGTCATAATGTCATAATTATCAGAAATATAAAGCTGTGTATCATCTGTGAAAGATTGAATAACCTCACCAAGTGGATACTGTATACAGATAAGATAATGATGCAGAGAATGGGCCCTGTGAAACACAACATGTATTATTAGTCATTCTTGATGCAGTCAATGGAAGATTTTGTATTTGCTTAATATGATCTAAATACATTAATATGGATCAATATCTGAATTTGACAAAAGTCCAAATCTAAGAATCGACACAGCACTTAAATAAAACATTACTAAAACAGATACAGTATACAATTTGAAAATACACTCATAAATAGATCATTTACTGTACAACTTAACTAAAGCAAATCCAGTGTTATGATTAGAGAAAAAAATACACTGAAAGGTATTACTATCAAGGAAAACTTTATCTGTCTATCACTAGTACTTTTTCAAAAAACTATCCTAAGAAGGTTTGGAATAAGTCTGAAATTACTTGGAATATCATAGGAGTTTCACAAGGCTAGTTTTAAAAGAAGACATCGGTGTTGACAAAGAACTATTCACTGTTACATCATTGCACACACTGCTAAACGCATTCTTCAGAACTCTGGTTAGTAATGGATTCAAAGGATATGCAACAGATGCCATCTGCAAAGTATTACATTTAGTTCTAACAAAGAAAATGTGTCCTTAAGAAACAGGGTAGCGGGTGCAATTGATATAATAATTTATTGAAATCTTATCCCCAAGTGAAACTATTCTGTTTTATAAATAGTTAAGGTACTCTTCACACTTCGCAATTGAGGCCTTGATATCAATTAAAAGAAAGGGTATCTGTTTACTGTATCTTACCACCTGTCATTGTCCACTCATTTTTCTCAATAAAGGAACAAGTAAAGGTTTATTCCATGGTGAAAACCTATTACTGTACCTCTTCCTTTGCAGCCTATGCATGCTGACGCACGCAGCTACCTACTTGAACTAATTCCTTTTTTGGTTGACAGATGGCAGTGTAAATCCAAGGCACAGTATATCTGAAAGTAATTCCTAACACTTACTGTATATACTGTAGTGCTTTTCTGGATAGTACACTCAAAGTGCTTTACAGGTAATGGGGACTGTCCTCCACTACCACCAATGTGCAGCATCCATCTGGATGATGCCACGGCAGCCATAGTGTGCCAGAACGCTCACCACACATCAGGACAGAGTGATGAAGCCAATTCATAGATGGGGATTATTAGGAGGCCATGACTGGTAAAGGCCAGGAGGAAATTTGGACAGGCAAATCCGAACCAGAAGATACAATGGAAACTACATGAAAGTGCATTTAAAACTGAGAACATGAGGCACTTTTTCACCCAAGGGATGTAGGAGCATGGAACAAGTTACCCAGGATTGTTCTGGAAGCTGATGTCCAGGTTTCTTTCATGAAACAGCTGGATGAGATCCTTGGTTCAACTACTAACTACTAAATCTAACTGCTTTACTGATACAAAAAGAACAATACATTTCTTTTTCTATGACTAAGGCACACTAAAAAAAACATTCCAACACAGGAAAAAAATGGAACTGAGAGAGGCTACATGTATTTTAATGTAAGCCATTCTGTGTATTAAAATTTCTGTTGCAGTAATACAATGCATTTGACTCTTTTCTTTTTTACATAATTACACAAATAATTTTTGACGGGTTTAAATTAAATAATTTATTTGTGAGTAAATATCTTTGTAAAAATAAAAATAACTAATACAGTCTTTAGAGGTCAATCAATTGTATATGCCTAATATTACCACAAATAAAAAAAATCATTAAGAAGAAAATAACTGACAAAACTGCAATCTAAGGTACAGTCTTTTTTGATTATTTAAACATAATAATCTGATAACAAATTAAAGCATTAGGGGAAAAAAACCTCATTCATTCAATAAAACTCTATTAAATATTCTGGATATATCTGATTGCTATCAAAGATCACAAAAATTTTTGGATGGGTGATATCATCCACACAGCTGTCGTAGAGGTTCACAGTGCTTTTGTCTTTGGATGGCGGTCGGTAATAGGTCTCCTTTCCCATGGTGTAATCGCCAACAAGCACTCGAGCGAGAAACATTGCCTTAAAGGGAGGTGTGTTCTCAGGTAGAGGTGCTGGCTTTGCCACACTGTAGTTTTCTAAAGTTCTTATGTGGTTTTGAGTAGTACAGCAGTATTTCTTAGAGTAGGATGCATGTCTTGCAAAATATGCTCCTAAAAAAAGGAAAAAAAGACATCCAAATTAAAAAAAACAAAACATGTACAATATTTCTATACATACATAATAATTACTTGATGTGCTAAAGTATTTTATTAAAAGACCTGATTGAAGCTACTGTAAATGAAGTACAGATAAATACACGGGAGCAGCTCTTGTGTTTATAATTAATCCAAAAACATTATATTTCAGCTCATAAATCAAACCTTTCAATAAATTTGAATATATGTATGGAAGGGTGATGATGGATGCATTTTATGTTTTTTACATTGTGTTTAAATTTAAAAATGGTTACTGTTCAATTTTATGGCAAAAGTACCTGTATTTTGTTTAAACGCCTTATGGTTAAGTTACTCAAGAACCTCAAGACCCCTGTTCTATCTGTTTTAGAATTTCCATAATGTTTTTAGAACTTTAATATGTAGTCATTCAATCTAGGTACAGTATCTGATTGGTCAACATTATCTATGCTAAACGGGAGAAAAGGAAAGCATAGCAGATGCACAAATTTGTTTGACTGTATACAGTACACTGCAATGCTAAGTGGTTGCATTTGTAACAACACAGTAAGTATTAATTATCCAGTATGTAGCCACACATGTAATTTGTATTTTATTTAATTTTAAAAATATGATTGCTATTTAATTTGATAAATGTGAACAAATATGCAGTTTTAAAATATGCATATTCAAATCATAAAGACATAAGCCAAAGATTCCAATCATCTTTGAGGTACGCATGTCACACCTTTTAAGATTAAAATGTGTTCTTCATTGATACCCTGTATTTTACTTGGAAGTGTCTTTTGTGAGTTCATTGGAACTTGCCTCCAGTCCTTATAAACCTCATTGTAATTTAAAGTAGAAAATCATTAGTATGATAAACAGTGATTAGAATGTGATATATCTGAGAGCTTAATGTCTTGTCATGAAACCACAAACACAGGCATTACAGGATAATAAACTTTATTCTGAGCAACAAGAAGACTCAAGATGCATTTACATGCTGCTAAACTGAAAATATCTTTACAGAGCACTACGGTATCAAAGACAATTCATTTTGTAATAGGATCTTGATGGAGTTTAAATATTGTGAAACTATTCATGTTAGGTGTTTTTTTAGAAAGAGAAAATATTCTTCTCTAAATGAGATAAAAACACTTGAAGAAAAAAGACTTCTGAACACAAATCTGCAGTCAGATTTTAAAATTCCATATGCCTGGACAATCCCACTGGGTAATCTTGATTTTTGATGACACAAATGTCCATCTTCTTATGGTCAATTCAGAAATAAAAATAACTAACAGAACAAGTGTTCTCCGCTAATCACTTTTGGGAAAACCTCAACATCTGCCTACCTTTTCCAAAAACATGCCCATGGCTGCCACTTAACCTGCAGTCAAAATTGTGTGTGCATATCGCATGGGTTACATAAGGGCTGGTGCCATGGAACAGCATTCTTTCTTCGATGTCTTCAGCATGTTTTATCTTTCTCAGTTGGGCCTTTTTCCTTTAGAAAAAGAACTTAATGTAAGGAAAGTTTCTTAGATTATGACTAAGGTTATTTTTTTTGATGCAACACTTTAAGTTTTACTCTAAAATGAAAACATATTGGCTATTCAAGGCCCCTATTGACCAATACATTGATTTTCCAATTTAGGGATAATTCCTTGCTGCATTATGTTCTACCTGTGGCTTATGTGGTGAAAGTGAAACATTTATGTATTTTCTAATACAGATAACTGTAACACACTCTTAAAAGGAGTTTGAAGAGTTGTCTAAACTTAGTACAACATGTTCAGAACAGAGTAGCCAGGGTTATGTCTCAGTCTGATGTCAATACGTCTCTTTTTCTTACTGTGCATTGTGTTACAATTGAGTTTCAAATTGATCCTAAAACATCTGACATTCATGGCCTCGAATGGCTTGTTCTCTGCTACATTGTTGTTTTTTTTTCAAATGATTATCCTCTCCCCTTCTTTCAAAGAATTTCAATGTACAGTGTTTTATAGAATACAGACTATTATAATTCCAATTTATCTGTGCGATGCACTGGTGTCCCATTCACAGTGTGGCCCCACCTTGTTAAAGGTGTCTACTACTCCTGTTAGGATCTGGTTCACCACAGAGTTATTCTAATTTATCCAATAATATCTAAATAAACACACTGATGTATTATTAATATTGATAGTACATGTTGACATAGTATTGAAGAAAGATGTGAAGACGGGTTTAAATTAAATCCTTTTCTGTATGAGGTTTAGACTTCTAAACAACAAGCTGGAGTTTATGGCAGGAAAGGGGGTTAACTGATAAGGATTCCAGATGCCAGCTAAGAACCCCCTGGGGGACGTAATCTTAAACTGACCATTTGGCCAGGGTCTCTTAACTGGCCAAATACCATGACCCCCCTCTTTACCATAAGAACGAATGACGTCAGAGCAGCAAGGAAGGACTATATAAACCTAAAGTTTGTACCGGCACTTTGAACAATATTTTGGTTTTGTTGTTTCTTGCGGTAAACAAGACTTTGGCTGTATTGTTCCTTGCATGCAATAAACTCATCTGTTTAACTTCATCTCGGGATCCAGAACCTTATTCTTTCTGTTACAACAGTATCAATAACCACAGAATAACTATTCATAATACTTACCTGCAAAAAAACTCCCATAGGTCTAAGTTCTGAATTCTCTTAATTGCCTGAATCATCACTGAAGTCATTGTCCTTTCAAAGAGTCTGGCTACCTCTTTGTATTCATAGGTGTCTCTACGCAAACTGACCACCTGGAAGAGATAGGAAGTACAAGCATTATCTTTGATTAAATTTGTTCTCCGGGGCACAGGTTTGTGGTACAAGACTTAATCCTTTGGATGACTCTTTTATTGTTCAAACTTTTTTTTTAATACAAGAAAAAAATATGTCTGACCCAATGCAAAGTGATGAGTTTTGCATTTTTTCTAAGAAGGCCTAACATTTAACATCTTTGGCTGCTATACAAATCACTGTAGCCTTAAAGGTAATACAGGGCTTCAGCAACATTGTGTTGTTTATGTTAAATTACAGTACATTCCACTTTATAGGAAAAACAGCTAAACAATATTTAAGGAAAAATTTAAGTGTATCAAAGACCATTCAGTTATGTGTTTTTACAGTAAATATCCATCCTTTCATCAGAAATCTACTTGTTCTTCATAAAGCTCATGGCAAACCAGACTCTGTTTCTGAAACGGGGTGCAAAGCAGGACTATTTCTTGGATGGAACACCAACCAACCGCGGGCCACATAAAACAAACACATTAACCTGTATATTGTCTTTTGAAGGTGGGAGAAAGTACTTGGCAAACTCCACACAGAAACACATCCAGACCCGAGAGCTGTAAGGCAGCAACACTAACTGCTACTATGATGCTCTAATTACCAAAAAAACATACAAGTACATGACAAATCTATTCAGCAGAACAAGTAAGGGGTTTATTCCATGCTGAAAAGAGAATAAAAGAAATACAACGTTTAATCTGCGGAGCCTTCTTCTTCACACCCAAAGAATATTTCAGCATGAAATAAACCTTTACTTGTTCCTTTGCAGCCTATGCATGCTGACGCAGCTGCCTACAGTATTTGAATTAAATCTATTCAACTACTAACTCTGCTTTATGGAACTGAAAAACATTTAAGATCACTTTATTGGCCATATACAATTTCTTGTATTTGGAATTTGTCTTTTCGCATACCCCAGCTTGCTCTCCATGAGACACACAGACAGGGAGAGAAGCTTGGGGTCAGAGTGCAGGGTCAGACATTTATACAGCACCCCTGGTGCAGTTGGGGTTAAGGGCCTTGCTTAGGGGCCCAATTGAGTAGGATTCCTTTGCCGGCCTCGGGATAAAAACCTATTCCAGGCACAGGTGCAGATCCTTAGCCACAGAGCCACCCACTGCCAAACAATATACTTTTTTATACTAAAAATATCCAAATATATACAGTCATGCTTGAAAGTTTGTAAAACCCATTGCATAATTTGAGATTTGCATTACAAAATGCATATAAAATCAGATGTCGTCACTTCTTAATTAAAATAAAGTATAATTATTCACCAATTTGAGTGTTTTGAAAGCAAATGTCCATGCAGCAAAATACTGTAATACACACAGTTAACAGAAATTGTGCAGGTGTAAAAATAGTTATATGACTTACATCAAAGTAAAGCAGGATCAGGTGGGTCAATGACAGTTTTAACCAATTAACTGAGGTAACCAATGAAATTAAAGATCTGAAATGATGTGTTAGGGAGGAGCAAACATAAATAATTGCAAGAAAGCAGGTGAGTTACTCTTCCTACGAGTCTAGCATCATGCCTCGAACTAAGGAAACATCAGCAGAACTGTAGTAGATGCTCATCAATCTGGAGAAGGTTATAAAGCCATTTCAAAAAAATTCAGACTCTTTAAACTTTCCACTGTTAGGCACATAGTATACAAGTGGAGGGCATTTAAAACAATGGCAACCCTGCCAAGAAGTGGACGTCCTCCTAAAATTTCACCCAGGGCCACAAGGAGAATAATAAAAGAGGTAAAAGGTAATCCTAAAATAACATCCAGAGATCCATTTACAGTACGTCTTTGTGTTTAATTAATGTTCTGGTTAATGCTATCTTAATGCAATATAGGTTTGCAAGTTAAATAAGATCTGAACACAAAATATCCTTTTTTTCAAATTGCCATGTTTTCTTACCTGGTAGGGTTGATCTGTGTCAACAAATTCCCAATGAGAAGGAACTGGCAAAGCAAGATTATCACATATAAACCTATGTTTAAAGAAAAAAAATGTATGATTAATTGTGATTCTACAAATGATGATAAATTAAATAAAAGCAAAAAGAATAAGAAGAGACAAGCTGTCATCATCTTATATTTTCTGTACCTGACTAAAACCCTCCACCGGGTTCTATTAAGACACATTCACACAGTATACAGTACAAATGAAAACTGCACTGATGATCTAGCCAAAAGATCTGCACTGATCATCTCTCATTTCCAATGCAGTAATTCACTTGGGAACTTGTAAAACACCCCATAAAAGTCAAAAGAAGGTGCAGAATCATCAATAAATGACCAAAAAACAAAGACCTGACTGAAGCCTATCATTATTGTATGTGTATACAGCATTTATAAGGCTCACACAGTTACTTAGGACCGTTTTGTTTACATTCTGAAATAGTTGGTTCAGCAATCTGATAATGGATAGATGAAAAAAACACAACTTTTGCCCATTACAAGAAAATAGATCATGGTTTAGAGAGAATGAGTTTAAATTCTAGTAAAATAGTAAAGCTAGTAAAGGCAATAATGATATTTGAGTGCTCCAAGCCAAATCCCCACCAAGATTTAGTTCCATACCTGAAAGCAGTCACAGAATAAAGTGCACGCTTGATCGGCTGTTGTTTTCCAGTTTTTGTGTTTGTCTGTTTCATCACTTAGGTTGGCAAAAAAACACACAAACAAAAAACATGCTTAAATACCTCAAATAGCTAATATTCCAGTAGTTTCTTTGGAAAGATGAATCAGAATATACAAATATGTTTTCCTTGTGAACTATTGTATTATCAATTGTGTCATTGATCTTCCTCCTTTTCTGACTTAACAGTAATAACCCAAGCAAAGACTTTAATCTCTTAACCTCTACTCAATCATGCATATGGAATAATTAAATCAATTCATTGAATTTACTGTATGTAGTCCTTTTTATTTGAAAGAATCCCAAAGAGCTTTAAATATAGAAAGGGACTGACTTCACCCACCACTGAAGTCCAACACATACAGGTACCTGTGTGACACGCAGCAGCCATCATGCACCACCAGCAACCCCATTACATACATTAGAAGATCAGGCAGAGAAGTGAGCATTTACTTCAACTAAATTAATGGGTAAATTGAACTTCAGGTAGACAGATTAAACAAGCACCTACAGTACTGACATTTATTCATTACATCACGATTAACACCCCTTCTCTTCCTAACAGGAGCTTTAAAAGCCAAATAGTCAGGATGTCTCATTCAAAGGATGCCAACTCCTACAGCACAATGTTCCTGGTTTCAATATGGTGGTATGACATTTTCTTTGGAAATACTGATCCATAATTGGAAAATTGCCCATTTCCACGAACCACGACCACAATTTACAGCAGCAACTTGGTTCTCCCTCGAAATGGGAAGAGGGTAAGAAGAGGGATGACCTGACAAGATCAGATAACAAGGTGCTGTCTCGCTCACATACAGTGGATTTTTTCAGAATGAACAGTGCAACACAAACTAAAGAACAGAAGAGAACACCACCTGGAAGTGCAATTAAAACCAAAAACAAGAGACACTTTCTTACCCAGAAGGATGTAGTATTAAATTAAACAAGCATTTTACCCAGGCATAATGTTGAAAACAGGCTTATTTCATGAAATGGCTAGATGAGATCCTTGGCTCATAAACTAGTAACTAGTAAAAGGCTGCAATAGATGTGCCAATTGGCCTTCTTTCAGTTGTATGCTTTCTTTTAGGGTACTGTACGTACCATGTACAGTAGTGTATAATGTCATTCCTAATAGTAAAACAAATGTAATGCAGCATGAAAAACAAAAACAAAAATAAGCAACACAATACTATAAACCCCAACAATACATTTTCATAGTTATTCCTAATAGCATAATTTCCTGAGTGTAACAAGAAAAAAAAATTAATCTCAGCCCAAAGTTTGGAGTGGGCAACCGCTTAATGTGGGCACTGACCTGGATAATTTATTAACCAAAGCTCTTCATCTGCATTAGGCAAATGCTTTTTTTCTTCAATCAAAGATATTTCCTTACATTCAGATGCACACCACGTTCATTTTTGCCTGGGAAATACAATATCTCCTTTGGTATATAAATGCATGTAGTACTGAATTCAATGGAAAGAAATTTGCTATCAAATGAACACCAACAATAATACACAAATTTAAGTTGAAATCTGTTGTCAATAAGTTAATTTATGAAATACATAAAATAGTAATGAATATGAAATACCTGAAAAATCCAACAGATATGTATATTTGGCTGTAGAGAATTCGACAACACCTTGCTGGTTGCTTCTGTAGTGCTTCTCAATGACCTCACTTGTCATGTTGCATGTTGAGCTTGAGTCAACCTATTAAAAAACGAAAATAGCAACTGAACATTGTAGAACTGTATGTTCAAAATTAACAGAATATATTGCAATGCAATACTAGATACCTCAAACATATGCCAAACCCCACAATCAGCCAGATAAAACCAGCACCACTGAGTATCTGAAGTGTCCATATCCTCAACCTCTGCGAAGTCATCTTGACCTCTTCCTGTGGCAAACATGGTCTGGAAATCAGAACATAAGATATCAAGGACATACATGACATCAGTCACATCAGCAGATCGAACAAGCAGCAGTGGGATTAATTTTTAATAGTGTGTGGATGCAAAGAAAAATAAATATTTGTCTTTAGAAATCCAGTGGTTAGTTTATCCATATCAGAAAATACTCCATTGTCTCATTGTTTTTTCACCTTTTTGCTGTACAATATTCTAACCCAATGGCAAGTAACTGAACGATAAATCTGACTTGAACAATCTTTGGAGAAAATCGCACATTATTGCCTACAACTCCAATATCAGTTTGTAATGCTAGAAAGACAAAAGATCAAGCAAATGGAAAAAAAAAAACAAGAAGAAAACTAACCCAGTAAAATTCTGCTGGTATAAATTCAAACTTTATTAATTTGAAGATTGTTTGTTTATTGAAAGATCATTACATTTAGCATGATTTTGCTCATTACCCTGAAAGTGACCCACTACCAGATGAAAATAATACAGTGTGAGTTCTGGACCGCCATTGTACCGCCATTGTTGCTCAAAGCTTGCTGTTTATCTGGATAATAAATACAATATCCAAAGATTACATTTCTCCTAAATTATGACTATTTTATGGAGAGCTGGTAAAATCCTGTATAAAGAAAAGATCTCCCTTTAAGTGTCAACATGGGTTACACAGAAAATAGCTGTTGACTGTATCAAAATGCAGTCAGTGAATTCAGTTTGCTATAATTTCTTTATCTGGGGATTGCTAATGCATTCTAATGGGACACTTGAGGCACAACTTTGGATGGCAATGCATGACTAATCCCTGTAAAATAGGAATTTATATTGACATTTAAATGTATATTTACACTGCCTTCAGAAAGTATTCTTCCCCCCTGAACAATTACAAATATGGTTGTGCTACGAAGACAGGCTTTAAGGCAATTATTTTTTGCCATGCTTCACACAACATACAGTACATAACAATTTAAAAGGATACATTTTTATAGTTTAACAAACACTTTGAAGAATAGAATTACCATTACCATTATTTACTGGAGTATCAATCCAATGAAGCGGCTTTTTCAGCAATAACAACTTTGAGTATTTTTGGTTAATTCTATATCAGCTTTGCACATCTGGATTTTTAGGATTTTTGTCCATTCTACTTCCTGATTTGATCAAGCTGTGTCAAGTTGGATTGGGAGAATTATTCAAATCCTTTCACAGATTCTCAAGGGGATTCAAGTCTAAGCTTTGGCAGGGTCACTCAAGGACATTCACCTTCTTTTTCTGAAGCTGCTCTGGTTGTGCTTTGGCTGTATGCTTGAGGTTGGTCTCTTTTTGGAATATTTGTCCCTGTCTAGGGTATTTTAACAACTAAACCAGGTCCTACTCAAGGACTTGGCTGCATTTGGCCCCAGTGCCTCTCTCTGAAAAGCATCTCATAAGTTAATATTGGCACCACAATGCTTCCTGGTTTGGATGTAACACAGGTTATGTCCAATATAATATAAGCTATATAGCACTCCTGTATATAGTCCAATATAAGCTAGGCATTGCATTCTCCACCCAGACTAAAGAATTCAATATTTGTTTAATCAGACTAGGGAATAAACTGTAAGGCAATCAGACATAGGCCCTAGAAATGGGTGAGTTTTAAGTTTAGATTCGAAAAGAGTCAAAGAATTTGTTCCTCAAAGAGTCGTAAGAAGGGCATTCCATAACAATAGAGCAGGGGCAAAACAAGCATGGTCACCAAAAGTCCAAGATTTAGTCCTAGGTGGAATGAGCAAAGGACCAGCCTCAACTCAATCCTATAGGAAAGAGTGTAAACATGAAGGGATTCAGAGATAAATGACTTGAGGCAGATTGTTTAGAGCCTTAAAGGTCAGAAAATAGAAAATATTTGACTTTATAGGCAACCAATGTTGCAGCTTACTGAGAACAGTGCTAGGGACCACAAAGAGCAAAGAGTTGCAGAAATGAAGCACATTGATGTTATAAATGCACAAATCAAGCATTCAACATAGTACACTATGTGATAATGCCTAATGTGGTCAATATTTCTAAGTTGACGAAAAGAGGGTTTAATCAGAGTTTTCTCATGATTTAAAAGACAGGAGGGGATCAAGTGTGATTCACAGATTCCTGACTATCATGGCAAATAAACAAGCGATACGTGACAGGTGAGTACTTTCTGAAAACACTGAAGTTTTGCAACAGACATGAATTGATTTTCTATACATGACAGCTGCTTAAATAACATTAATAAATAGCATTACCATACCTCTTCTCCATGTGTTTCTGTAATTTCCAAACTGATTGCTTAACCAGGATGTAAAGTGCAATTACCCATTAAGGGCTGTTTTTAAGTACAGCAACTCTTCAAACTTTTTATTGTCTTTCATCTACCGTATTTTACTTAGTTTACTTCAATGAAATATGTCCTGTAGAACCTTCTCATCTATAGACATCTCCAGACGGAATTATGTATTCCGAAGGAGGATAATTCTCAAGACCTAAATCAAAACAATATTTCCTCAAACCAAACCTGTCATTGATAATAGTCCCAATAACACCTGTGACACCTGTTCTTATTGTATACAGTAGGTTATTTTTTTATACTGAAAGTACTCATATTAAAGTACTGTACACGTACTGTATAACTAAGAAATACAACTACAATAAAAATACAAAATACAAATACAATACGACATTGTACTGTATATCCCTTTTCTATTTTGCCTTGTATGAGTCATTACTAAATCATTATTTCAAACATACAGTAATTATATATTTCTTTACCTTCTGTTCTTAATCAATGATTTGCGCACCGAAACAGTTCCGCAGTTCTGTTGTGACTAGAATACTACACGTCCTGCTCGATTCCAAAAAGCCGTACCATCTTCAGTTTCTATTTCTCGCTTGTTGGCTGCTTTTTCATACATGACGTTAAACAATTCTAACAATATCTATGGAGAAAGTACATCATCAATTGAAAGCAACAACATAAGAAGAGAATATTATTTAAATTTAATTGACCTTCAGCGATACAATATTAGAAAAACAAAGTTTTCCTGATTATTTAATGTTGCAATTTCCCAAGAAATGAAAGTGATTGGCAACATGAATTTAACAAGCGGAAGAGCTCTAGAGCTGCGCCGATGATCTGCTTTGAAACATTTGGTCTGGTATAAAAGTTAGCTTTCGGCAGTCTAGATAATTTGCTTTTGTCTGTGATTCTTGTGAAAATCCAAAATCCACAGTTTTACTCGAATACTGCACGTTTTCTATATGCGTTCGAGGTTATATTGATTTTCCTTGAATTATCACGTCGCTTTCAAAGTGACCGTTTTCCAATTTAGGTTTTTAAATAAAAAACAAAATCTTAAAGAAAAAGGTGGGTAGCTGCGTCAGCACGCGTAGGCTGCAAAGGAACAAGTAATAGGTTTATTCCATGCTGAAAAAAAGAAGAAAGAGAACACAACGTTTCGGCCGTGGAGCCTTCTTCAGGTCACCTAAGGAATAATGTTATATACTGTACTATGAAGTAATAATATAGAAGGTGCTGCATCAGTTCTCTGTTTAATTGTTTAATCTCGTTTCCCTGAATGCCTACTGCCTGAGAATTAATCTTTTATGAGGAAGTTTATCACAAACCTTTGGAAAAACTAAATTCACCATATTATTATATTCACACTTATTATAGCATCTAGCACCTGGGTTTAATCCTAGTTAGGGGCAAATGATGTAGCTTGCTCTAATTCCTTCCAGATGGCTCCCAGGTCCCCTCTGCCTGCTTTCCAAAAGAGTACAATGGCCTGGAAAAGGACCTACCTACCAGTATATTCATTCATATTTTTGCTTGTTCAAAGAAACAAGCTGTAGTTGGGCAAGACGAACAATTTCTCAATCCATATTGACTGCCCCCAATACATTATTTTCTTATACTGTTTTGTCGGTGAATATCTCGTTAAGCTAAAATTGTTCCAATAGCTTTACATGTAATACAAGTCAGGCTTATTGGTCTATAATTACATGGTTAAAGTTCCTCAACCTTCTTATGGGTTGGCACTATATTAGCAATTTTCCAGCCCAGATGCTACCCCTGTGAGTAGCATGTGAGAATCATGTGAGTGATTGCATTAATTGCTTCTGAACAATATCTTGATTTCTTGAGTACAACTGGTAAGGGATCATCTGGCCCCAGGGATTAATCTTGAGGACCATGACTACCTGAATTCTATCTTATACTTCTTCTATGCTAATACTGTTGAATATAGAATTTTGTCTTGAGGCATGCTACTGACTTTCCTTAGTGAACATCTGAGTGAAATTGAGTGTCAGAAAATAAACCTTTAACTCTACTTGCACATGTAAAATGCTCTTTTAAAAGATCAGCCATTGTCTTGGAATTGTATAGATGTTTCTGATTTCTGTTCAGGTTATATTTTACTTCATCCTTGTTAGTTTACAGTTGTTGTACTAAAATAACTTTTTGTTAATGATTTATTGTATCCTCCATTGCAATGTTCCTTTCCATTTCTGTTGGGGTTTCCAATATCCTTTTTTATCTTTGATTGCAATTCTTCTTGCACATCGTTCTTTAACTGGATCCTGTTGTTTCATTTAATGAAGAGCTTTCTATATTTCCTAAAACATTGAAACTCACTGAAGAACATGTGGATCCACCAGAACCGGCAAGATTATGTTACAGTAAAATCTGTTACCTGTAAAATTTTGGAAACATTAGTTTGAGCTAAACAAGTACAGTGGAACCCTTACTAAATAAGTGCAAACTTGGAAATGGAAATGCAAAGGTCTTGTTTGACCTCCCTGTATATATGAGCATATTTGGGAAAGGAAAACATGATAGTTAATGATACTAAAGAATATATAGTATGATGTATTTAGAGATACATTTATATCCAGAAAGCTATTAATAAGGTCACTTAAAGAAGGGTCATTCTTAAAACAAAAAAGTCATAGGAATCCAAGATAAGATTTCAGTGATCACTGTTTTATAGCATGTGTTTGAAGGAGCATGAAGGAGAATCTTTCTCATCTGATTTTATCTGTAAGATGTTTTAAACAATACAATAAACTTTGTACCTGATTTGGCTTTATTAAATGGAGAAAAAAACTTTCCCTATCACAACATTTAAAAATGTGTGGATCTTTTTATAAATAATTTTTTTCCTAGTATTGTCAACAACTTTTTATAAAACATATTGAGTTTTAGGGTTAAAATCACATTAGCTGTTGGTTTAGCCCTAATAAGAAAAAATCTTAGGGAAAGGCTAGGGCGTCTAAGACTGAAAGCCATTCATTCGGGCAATTTCAAAATACAGTAAAAGCACAAAAGTTATTAGATATTCCAAAATTAGTTATTATAGCCATCATCCTCTTTAACAATTCCTAAAAAGTTTGAAGGTCAGTTCAATTTATGAAGAACACATTAATCACCTTGTCATTTACCAGTTTTGAATTACTCATGGCAATAAAATGGATGGCCAATTTACTAAACATAATTAATAAGGGTTGTCTATTGAATAGGTTGAAATTTAACAATAATGATGATTCAATTGAGTTTGAAGCTGTGAAGTTCTATAATCAATTTAGTTTTACATTACAATCTGCAATACTGAGTCAGAAGTACTAGCTGTCTACTGCTATGATAAGTAATAGTATTGAACCATGTTTTAGAAATGTTACTGCTCATTTGATATTTTTTCTGTTGACTCACTTTATTATTTCAGAATTTGTGTTCATTTGTTTGTATACCTTTATTTGGGAAGTCAAATTCTTTCAATATCAAAATGAAACAAAGACCACATCCGGTGCAAGTGTCTGTTCTGAAGGATTGACTGAGATAACAGATACTGTATATACAGTACTAGTTTCTTATATCAGATGTTTTTAGTTTAACTGTGCCTCTCTCCAGCTGAAAGAACAAATAAAATCCCTTATTATCCTGCAAATCTATACCCTACAAAATAACCACATTATTACACCCAAATTGCATATCTCCATATGGAACATTAGTATTTGCACTGAACATTTTAAAAATGTCAAACATTAATTAACCGCAAATTTGAACACAATATAATTCTTTATATAAATGCAAACATTTTGTAAAGCAAACTGGCTTTCATAAAAAATACACACATTTAATATTTGTAGGCTGCCCATAATTAACTTCAAGTTACAAAAGGATATTGCTGCTCCGGGAGCTCTACACAGACAAGCAACCAGATCAATTCCAGGTCTAAAGCAATGTCCTGCACTGTCAGAATAACAGGACTGAACAGAACTTTTATTCTTGAACAGAACATTGAGGAGTATAAGGAGCCTGATTCAAGTAATTAAAATCCTCAAAGTCATTGAACCCAGTGGACTTCACAATAAAAAAACTACAGGATACAAGTGGAAACGCATTTTTACACCAATGGAGTATGAAAAAAAAAAGTTGTCTTTCTTATGTTCACAAATGCCACCACAATGTTTGAATTACTACAAATTATTTTTCATAAAATTGTGCACTGTATTACTATAAAGCGCATTTTCCTTTTAAATTCTTAAAAAGACTTCAAGAACAAATTTCAAGAACAATCAGGCAGCAGGAGTACAGTTTAATGCTGATAGACTACATTCCAAGCATTTTAGAGAGGAACTTCACATACTGTACAGTATTGCTTCAGTAAAATGTAACAGTACCAACTACATATATTGGTACAAACGTTAGTTGCTTTGTATACATACAACATATTATATTACACTGCAAATTAGTTTGGAACCCTGATAAATGCATCACAATCACTACATATTTTAAGTATAATCATGTTTTACCATTGACTTTGTATCAGTAATCTATGCTAACTATGCATGTTCTAACTGCTTCATCCATTTCAGGGTCGCAGGGGGGCCAGAGCACATCCTGCCAAGCAACGGGTGCAAGAGGGATACTCTCTGGACGGGACATCAGTCCATCTTGAGACACACACACAGATACAGACACACAGACTCACATCAGGGCCAATTTTCCCAGAAGCCAATTAACCTACCAGCATGCCATTGGACTGTGGGAGGAAACAGGAGCTCCTGGAGGAAATCCTCACAAACATGGGGAGAACATGCTGTGCAAAATCCACAGAGAGAGCAACCCAGAACCAGAACTGAGCCCAGGGACCCAGCACTGCGGGGCAGCAATGCTAACCATGGCACCACTGTGCTGCCCAGAGATGCAACCTCAATTTCAAAATCAAAATACAGCATTACTTATGAGCATTTTTTCACCAAATTTAAAGAGTATTAGCACACACATAACATATAACAGTAGAAAAAAGCACAGTGGAGTTTGTGAGGTTACACTTTAAAAGGCTTAGAGAAATGATAGATCTTTAAAAAAGGTTCCATAGGTTTGGTCCTGCACAAGATGAAACTTTATCATGAATTTAGCAGAGCCTGTGTCTTTGGCAGAGTAAAAATACTTGAAACAGCAAATTTATGATTAAGTGCTGGACTCTACTAATGCAATAAATCATTATAATAATCAGGAGACAGACCATTTGGTACCTTATACTGTACATGAACTGAAGATCCTTGGACTCCCTTCTAGATTTCGCTGTGCAACTAACAGAACGTGTGTTAACTTTAACTTGTGATATCATGTTTCTGTGTGCAAAATTCACTTAGTGCTCAGAGTGAAAAACTATTAAGGGTGTGTGTCATGTAGGACATTTATATATAAATGTCTTTAAAGTATGATAACCTGCAACCTATTCACTGTACCTTTGTACATTCCCATCCTAACTGCCCATAACCTCCTTTTGGTTCCCTGGATTCCGCTGTACACCTATTCTTTAATGTCAGGAGAGCAGCACTGTGCTTTTCCCATTTAACTAAAAACTTAAGGGAAAACCACTGCGTTATTTAACCATTAACACTACAGTAGAGCCAATCTGCTTCTTTCTGTAGCTATGTGGGACATTCTAATCTTTACTTCCCTGGACGAACTGTAGCCTTAAACGACCCTTGAAGACTAGCCGATTAGACATTAAGACTTATGAGCTGAAACTTTTCATTGAGAGGACGGCAATTGAACACACCCACTGCAGATCTTACTCCCTGCCCCTTGCAAACACCTGCACTTTTTTTCTGAGTGGCCCTTAAGCCTCATACCCATAGTATGAAACATGACAGATGGGTGAAAGGGACTGTTGCTCCATTACAGGGAGTTACAGTTAGGTTGTGGACCAATGTCCTAAGAGTTGGTATAGCTGTGCACACTTGGTCGAGTTAAAATGATCAGACATTCGAGTAGGAAGCTGTGGCATGTGTCAACTGTGTATGATAGACGTCATTGTATTCGTAGGCTGCAAAAGAACAGGAAAAGGTTAATTTCATGCTGAAAGGTAAAGAAAAGAAACACTACATTTTGGCTGTGGAGTCTTCTTCAGTTGTCTTTTCTTCACCTTTGCCTTTCCAGGGTTGAGGAATTGAACCTTTACCTGTTCCCAGTTTAAAATATGCTTACTGACTTGTTTCTTACTTATGGGTTAATATTTTTGATTAATCACCTAAATGTAGGTAATGAAGCTTAAGTCACTGAAACTACTGATAAGGTTAGGGATAGAAATAATGCATGTTTAAGAGTGCAAATCTTTTCCATCTCATCTCGTCAGTTCCTACTCAAAAACAGGATGAGAGCTCCTACATTCTGTAGGCCTATCACCGGCTCCCATAATATCAGAAAGAGTCAGAGTTATTTATCTTATGTGACAGTATATAATGGGAGGTGCCGTGGCGAGCACTGGTAGAAAGTCTACGCTCCGGGTGAGGAGACGGGAAGGACCGGTGTGAGGCTAGCAGGGACCAAAAAAAATACTAAATGAGTGAAAATAAAAAGGCAAAAAGGCAAAAAGAAAGGGTACCACTCTGCTGTGTTACCTCCAGCCTGGGCTTACCCTACTTAACGGGGTCCAGCTTGGAAAAAAAAGAGCCGCTAGCACAGTGGTGACCTGACTGGATTTACCCTATTTAGCGGAGTCCAGTCTGGTGAGCAGGGCGCGTAAGGGAATAACATAACAAGGCGTGTGTGTGCGCCTGCCTCGGTGAAAGTGCAGGATGGGACAGGCAAAAAGAAAAATCTAAAGAAAAAGAAAACCTTACGCGGTTGCAATCCCGTCTGGGAATGTCGGTGAAAACTCCCCCCCCCCTTCTAGTGGTGGCCCTGCTCATCCCGTCGGAGGGTGTCCAGTGTGCCTTTATAGAACCCGCCCAGCTGGGGCTTATCAGATGGAAGCCGGGACAGCTGGGTATACAGAGGCGAAGTGTCGCCCTTCTACCAGGGCTCCGCCTCCACACTGTGCACGCCTCCGCGTAATGCCGCACGGGACTAGCATAGTAAAGAATGGTTGAAAATAATACTGCATTTCTCAAGGGCTTCATTTTATTAAAAATGTTATCTTTATTATAGTCTTTAAAAATGAAATACGTTTTTAAAACAACATTTTCAAAGATCTAAAGAGGTAGATGATTTATAAAATACTAAAGTGCAAAATCTGTTTCTCCTTTCCGTGCTTGTGTGACCAATGGGACAAGAGGAGTGCAATTTATTTTTTTGCTTATATTATGCTAGGGCATGTTGCTAATGCCACCGAATAATTCAGATGGGAAAACCATCATAAAGAATGACTCCGGAGCTTCTCTAGTGTACAATCTAGATATTTTCAGGGACTATACACACAAACTTCCGAACTCTACCAAAGTGCAACACCTTTTGCAAAGAAAGGTATTCCTAGATTTGCTCCTTTTCAATATTTATATTTAAGATCATAAGTGCTAACAAATCACGACTTGTTCCTTTTGATTTCTAAATTCAAAGCTGGTAAATAAAAAGCTCACTTGAGTGATTATAAATTCATAATTTGCTTTCCATCTGCTGAGCACAAATAGTACTGTTACACATTGTTTAAGACTTCCTGCAATGTACAATATAATGTTTGTATTCCTATTTCATTGGTTAAATATGGAGGATGTATGTATGCTTAAAACATCAGTATATAATAATTTCCATTCTGAATAAATTAAGTGTGGTGGATCCAAAAGGGCGCAAAGTGTTTCTCCCATAGTTTGACTAAAAAAGTGATACGAAGCTCTGATAGTTCTATGTTAAACTACTATAGAAATAAATAAGTGTAAGTTATTATATTATACAGTATACACATCCTTGTTATTATCCGGTAACAAAATGATATTAAAAAACAAAACTATGAAAGTTTAGTGATTTGTCTAGGAAACAATTTCTGCAAATCAATAAAATAAATATTGAAAAGGAGCAAGTCTAAATAGCTCACAATTAACATTGTTTTTATACCTCTGTTTATACATACAGTAATACTTGATCCCAGCTTATTACATTTACTTAGTCTGTTAATATCTTTGTTACGCAACCTGAAAATATAAGTGTCTTTTATAAATTCTGATTAAGCATAACCTTAATAAATGTATGGAGGTACCATTAAATAAATATTTAGCACTAAATAAATACATTTTAAATTAATACATTTTTACATTACAAAGTAGATATAATTTTTTTCTGGAGAAGTAAAACAATCCTATGTTATGCAAACTTTTGACCTTAATACACTCAGTGGACTGCAATGCCAATGATATGGTGAATTGCTTGATTAAAGCCAGAACATTCCAGAATAAGGCTGAATAGGGCTTCGTGGCCTATTTGAACTAAATTTCTCAGCCTTTACAAATGAAAAGACATGACTACTTTTTATGTACAGTACAAGGCACATTATAAAAGACATTTTATAACAGCCAAATACAATATGGTTTTAATGTTAACCATTTTGTACATTAATGTTTCAGTTATACTAATCTTCTTTATTGTCAAAATAATGACAAGACATTATGAATGTATAATCTAAAGTACATCATATTTTCTATCATAAATCTAAATTAGGTGAACCGACACAACACAGGTAATGGCTAAGTATTGCTCTTTTTACAGTATTCAAAAATAGTTTCCATTAAAAAAAAATAATGCACTTGGAAAAAAGTCCAAAATGAATTAATTTAATAAAACTCTATCAAATATTCTGGATATACCTGGTTGCTATCAAAGATCACAAAAATCTTCGGATTAGTGATGTCATCCACACAGCTGTCATATAGGTTCACAAAGCTTTTGTCCTTTGATGGTGGCCTACAATAGGTGGAATTTCCTACAGTGTAATCCCCAACAAGCACACGAGCGATAAACATTGACTTAAAGGGAGGTTCACTTTGAAATACAGGTGGCGTAACGCCATGCTTTTGTAAAGATGTTAAATGATTCCCAGCACTACGGCAGAATTTGCTTGAGTACCCAGCATCTCTTGCGAAATATGTTCCTGAAACAAAATAAAAAAAAAAATATGAGTACGTTTTTTGGACAAAAATACATTGTGAAAAAATGTACTAAAGCAAATTTTCTTAATGGAATAGTTTTATGACACTTGTGAGGAAGCATGTTCATATTTTATTTTGAATACATTTTCACTGAAATTTTGACAGCTGTCTTACAAAGAGCAAATTGATATAAATTATATACAGCATACAGGTATACAGTAACACCATATATATATATATTATGATTTTCTTTAACAGATTAGCACACCTTCATATACAGATTCAATGTCCTTTATGATTCACAAAACTATAACAACATTTTGAGATATAGGCTGGAGCTGGCAGACATCTTAAAAAATTCTAATTTGCTTACAAGCAGAATGACAGCTATTTGCATTTTATATTCTCTTCATTCATTGTCTACCCACAGAAAATATTATAGTATAGAATGTCTTTCAATTTCACCTTTTTATACCCAAAATTAGTTAGACGTTTATAATGCACACATCAGCACTTTCCACTTTTAACTGGAGACATGTACCCAGAACACTGAACCTATTGATAATCACCACATGAATATTCTTCCTCCAGTAATAAGGAGAGCTAAATAACATAGCTAGGTACCTACAATAATATAAACGTCTGAAAGCTGGCAGGCAATCCAAGTTCAAGGCACTTAGGTGCCTGTCTATGTGATTCTATGTATCTTTCTCTCCCACTTTAACTTTTTGAACTACAGCACGTTTCCTTTTTTAAACGTCATTACTCAGTGTTTCCAATTAAAAGAAACATAGAAACACGAATAAGATAAAAAACAAATGCCCTCATTTAAACTAGAAAGCTAGCTGAGAAGCTACCCAGTAGTACTTTTCACCAAAAACATAGAATGTAAAATCAAGAACAATGACTGCTGACCCAGCAATCTCACAACTAAAAATGTGAAATGTCAGGGATTCAGAAAAACGTAAACTCTTCACCCACTTCCTCTCCAACTGAGAAAAAGATTAAAGAATTTGACTATCCTGAGTTAGCTGAACAACCTGTTCTGCTGACACAGTTCAAATATGGAGCAGCGGCTGGCGCTTATTAAAACGGGGAATGTGGCCGTGAGTTCATTTCTCTTTCATTTATTCAGCAATCATTTTCAAACCAGATTTTGTTTAAGGTCAGAAAAAGGAAAAATGGTACTGCTTATTCTCACTCAATTTCACCAGAGATTCAAGAATGCAAGACTGTTGACACAGAAGTCTGCTGATATCATAACATTTCTTCAGAAAAACACTAAATAAAAAACACTACATGTACCTATAGGGTCTCCAGCTTTGGCACAGTGTGACCAGGTAGTGGAGGAGAAAACAGAATCTATGTTATTGTATGTTATATCACATTTACAAAAGTCTGAATGACATCCTTTCGTACATTATGTACTATGAGATAAAGTACTGTAGGTGACACAGGAAAATGACCAAGGGTATTTCATCTAGTATTGATGACATTCTTCCTGAGTTCTTTCAAAATTATTAGCCCTAATTAAGTCCTCTTCTGCTTGAAATAATCCCACCATTGAGGAGGATCTGTTTCAAAGTATTGTTAATACTGTCAATATATAGTGTATGCCTGTTGCTGAAAAAAGATTAGACAAAAATTACACATTTTTCCAGAATTCTCTGCCAAAATTCCTTTAAAGAATATCCTTGCTTCCTCTGTGTTAGAGTATAGGGATAGAATACATATTGGAATTTCTAAATATACAGTACATGGAAAGAGATGTGACCAGATAGTACAGTATATTCCTCCATTTACAACATACAAATCTTAAAGAGATCTTAAGGATCTGCGGGGGGCCAAAATCTCTTAATACCTTAAATTTGAGTGCTATTCCTTAGTTATGCAAGCTGGTTTGTTTGGTTTAATTCTGACATTCTTGCGTCTTGACACAGACCTCAATTTAGACTTAAGTTTATACACGTATTCAATTTATGTAAAGCGCTTTGAGTGGAGTGTCCAGAAAAGCGCTATATAAGTGTAAGCAATTATTATTATTATTATTATTATAAGTAAAAAATAATGGAATTATAGAGCCCTTAACCAACCAACCTCATTATCAGTGTTAATACAGAGCTACAAATTTCTGCTTAATACTGTTACAGCTTTAGGTAACTAAGAAGTGTCTCTAAGAGTTTAGATAAAGTGAAAGGCACCTGGCAGTGTAAACACTTCCAGCTTCAAATCAAAGAACTGGAATTCCCAATTGGAAAGTTTACCTTGGTGTATCTAGTTAAGTTGTGGGTAAAAGACTGACAATGATCAGCCCAGAAAGGGACCATATAAGAACACATTTTAACAACAGAAGAAAAGAGCAAGAGAGGGCAAGAGGAGTGGAGAGAAAAGAAGAAAGAAGAGAGGCAGAAGAGAGAAAGAAGGTCAGACCTCAAAAAAGGAGTCATGAGGAGTTGGAACTTGAAACTTGCGCCAAGTGAGAGCACTTCATCCAAACAAAAACTGATTGGAGCCAAACATGTAAACTACTGTAGTTAACATTTTTGCTTTACTGGATAAAATATACGACAGTTACAGACATCTTTGCTGCTTGTGGGGGCAATTTTAGAATGGGGACATAGGAACCCATTTACTTTGTGGCATCCGGATTTGCAGGACGAGAGATTTTTTGCATTTATTAGGAAGGCAGTTTATATAGTATTGTGACATCTGTGGGTATTATTTAAGAGTTCAATACTTAGTAGCCATCTGAGGTTTTCTGGGTGAGTAGGATGTTAGGCATCTGAAACGTCTAGTCTGTAAATACTGTATACAGTACATACAGTAGAGTAACTTGTGTGCTGTGTGTTTTGTTGTGTGTAGCGTAGTGTTTGTCTTGTCATTGTTAGTAAACACTTGTTTAACCAAGTGTGCCTGGATTATTACTCTTTTCACCAAAAGTGTGCCAGAGAATAAAGAAATCACCTGCATCTAATTATACCAAACACTCAGGAATACTTTGTTGGCTTTAGTACGTTTGCCCATTTATGATTGTGTGTGCCCTGCACTGCCCTGGACTAGCGCTTCAACCAGGTTGTATGTTGCCTTGCATCCCATGCATTCTGGGATAGGCTCTGGGCCACTGTGATCCTGAACTGGATATTAAAGGCGTAATTGAAAGCGATGTGATGTGAAATTTTTATTTGGACTGCAAAATATATTCTATTATTTAACCTCCAACATGCTCAACTGTCAGATCCATTAATCAAGACTCTAGTCTCTAGATTAAAGTCAGCACTAACTGGAAGTGTGACAGGTCTTTAAGCCTGCAGGCATCTGGCAAGTTACTGCTGTATTGAAACCTGAGAGCCCTAGAAAAGTAATACCAACCCCATCCCAGCAGAGTATATTTCCAGAATTTAATCTATAAATTAAGTACCTCTGCTTAGGAAATGATAATCGGAGTTGGGCAGTGAGATAACCTGGGTCTGAACCAAACCTACTGCTCTGGCAGCAAGTGCCTTTACTGGCAGAGTCACTTGGGAGCCCTTTGCATATTATGTACAGTACTCTTTTAATAAAAGTAATACATTCCCCAAAAAGAAAACCAAAAAGTTGTATTTTACATAATTGAATATAAACATATATAATGGAGGAGTAACCATATAAAAAAAGATGTGTGAATGTTTTATGTAATGCAAAGTAATTACTTGTAAAATGATAGTAGTTTTAAAGAAATTATTTAAATGTGTACACCTATAAAATATGTTACATTTGCAAGTGTCAACCCCTTTCTGGATCTACTATATGCTGTATGTGAAACCTTGAAAGGTAAAAATGTATTTTTGGTTAAAGCCCACCATTCTACTTCTGTGAGCTTACTGTAAATTGTCTCATGGCTTAACAAATACTGTATCTATCTACAACATGATATATTACGTGTCTATTGTGAATATGATGAATTATGTTTCTGATGTGTGGACTGCATTGTGGGGCGGAGGTTAGCATCACTACCCTGCTACTCTGGGGCCCAGGGTTCAGTTCTGTACCCAATGTTCTATCTGCGTGGGGTTCATACAGTATGTTCTCTGGGTCTGACTGGGTCTCCTCCAGGTGCTCCGGTTACCTTCAACAGAACTGGTAGGCTAACTGGCTTCTGGGAAAATTGGCTCTGGTGTGTACAGTATGTGTGTATCTGTGTGTGAGCCCTGTGATGGACTGACATTCCATCCAGGGTGTATCCTGCCTCGTGCCCACTGCTTGCCAGGATTGGCTTTGGCTTACCTAAATTGGAACAATCAGTTAGAAAATGGACAGATGGATGTTTCTAATGCAATATATTTCCTTCCCCTAAAAGTGGAATTGTCAATAAACCACACACATCAAAACTTTCATGCACGTTTTCAGAGCATTGTAAGATAATATCAGCATGAACTTCAAACCTACAACCAATTGCATAACATAACCTATTTACATGCTGAAGTGAAATAATCTCTACGGAACTATACCAGAAATGTTTTGTTTTCTCACGTGCATAAGAAAATGATGCAAGTAATAGAAAAATAAGTCTGTAAGCTGTATTAAGCTGAAAAGGGCCTTTCCTGTGCATGAACACTGTGTGATTATACAAATCTTTCTTCCCTAAAACAACAGACAAAACCTGGAGAAAGAAGACTGTGCTCCAGCAGAAATAGTTGTACATCACAAGAATGGACCTCATAAACCAAGTTAACCAAGTTGGGCAAGATGATGCTGTTGATAACGTGATTATGTGTAGGCAATATTACTATTTTTAACTGAATTATTTAATTAATTAATAAAATTGAATGATGTAATATAGTACTGTATAATATATTTCCTAAACCAATGTATACTCCTAATTCTCCTAAGTAAAGATCCCAGCAACTGCAACCTACCTTTTCCATAGACATCACCATGGCTACCACTTAATCTCCAGTCAAAGTTGTGCGTACATATTGCTTGTATAACATTATAGCTGGTGCCATGAAACAGCATTCTTTCCTCAATGTCTTGAACTCGTTTTATCTTCCTCAGCTGGGCCTTTTTTCTTCAAAAAGAAAAAAATAACTTAAGTAGCCTTTCTTTAATTAAGACTGAGATCATCACATTTGGTTCTCAACACAAAACTAAAATGATTTGAGAGCAGTTATTAACTGGTAACTGAATTTTTCTCTAAAATGAAAAATTAACAATTATTCTAGCTATATCATATGATTTAACTGAAGAAGTATTTTCTTGATGCCTTCATTTCTATTTAAGTGATGTGGAGACATGGAACATGCCTTTGTCTCTTCTAGGACTGATTACTGCAAATACTCTTGTAAGTACTGCCTCTTCTAGGATTCACATAATACTCTACACAAATTACCGAATGTTCAAAACCCAGTAGACAGGAATTGTGATTAGCTCTTTTTTCTTACAGTATGCCCATTTGTCTTCTACTCTGTAGTGTTTGCAGTGGCTTCTAATAATTAATAGATGGTGATCTTCAGACCTTCAAGGCCTGGTCTGTGTTTTGTTTTCTCCTATTTTTAGTCTCCACTCCACTGATGCAGATGTTTTACTTTATGTGTTGTTAATAACAGACTAAAAACTTTGGGTAACAGGGCTTTCGGTGCCTAAGCCTCTAGTTTGTGGAATGTCTGTCCAAAATGGACATGGGAATCTAACTGCTTTGATGCAGGAGATTTTAAACCTCACAGTATATTTAATCCAACAAAATAACGTTTTCTTCTAAATAATTAGAATAATTAGGTTTATATTTAATTTAATATTTTTTTCTGTTTTATAATAATACATTTTTTGTAGCTCTCAGGTACACAGCTTTGATACATACTGTACAGCATTTAAGACGAAAGGTGTTTTATAGAGTTATTATTGTTATACTGTAACTTGCCTAGTAACATCTACAAGAAAGAAAACTGGCCAACATACAGCAGCAAATACTGTAGCTAGTATCTTTCAAATCCAAACAGTAGTAGCATTTATAATCACATACTGTATACTGTAATTACAGAAAATGCATATGGATACTAATAGGAGTTACCTGCAAAAAAATTCCCATAGGTCTATGTTTTGAATTCTCTTAATTGCCCTAATGTGTGCTGCCATTGTCCTCTCAAAGAGTCTGGCTACCTCTTTGTATTCATAGGTGTCTCCAAGTAAACTTATCATCTGTAAAACAATACATAAGGAATGAAAGTATTATTTTAGATAACATCGTTCTCCACAGAATTCATTTCACAATGACATATCATTCAGATGTCAATAACAAAGTTTTTTTTTTATTTAATCAGTTCATATCTGCAAATAATTGAATCACAATGATCACATATACAGTATGTACTGTACATGTTATACAGTATAAAGTTCTCTTTAAAAAACAACCAATGAAGAATTTCTTATATAAACAAATTCAAGATATACAATATATTGTAAGTCTATCAACCTCAACCCTGTATTTGAAAATTGCAGTGTTACATTGTGAAAAAACTTTAAGCTTAAGGGTTAAGCTTTAAAAACTATTAGATTGAAATGGGAAAGAAAAATTGTAATTGTAAGTCATTTACTAACCAAAGTCCTTAGAACAATTACCCATGCAAGATGCCAAACTGTTCTGTGTGTCATCCTGTTCTTAATGTGTATACAATAGTTTACAAGAGTATTCTGCCCATTGATGTCCCATATTGTTGAATTACAAATTAAATATACTGTACACATTTAAAGTGAATATTTTTTTATCAAAACTTTTAAGTGTCAGCTGAGCAATTCTCTTCTACCACTACCACTGGAAGGAGGTGAATACTTTTGCAGGCACTGTACAGTATATACTGTAGTATGTGTCCCTGGATTTTGAAAGCCTTATATGTAGAAACATTGTCTTCACTAACAAAATTGTGCCTCACAATTATAAGATTCCAGGAAATGGATAAAATAACACCTTCATGCGTACTGTATGTTGTGATATGTAAAAAAGCATTCATGAAATTTCAACTTACCTATCCAGTCTATGCATTTCACGCTTCAAGTGTAATACAAATATATTTCACACACAAGACTCAAAATAACCTGTTCTCTTACCTGATAGGGTTGGTCTGTATCAATCATTTCCCAATGAGAAGGAACTGGCAGAGAAAGATTATCACAGATAAACCTATATAGTTAAATGAAAAATACAAGTGTATGTGATTTAGACAAAACTAAATTGATGAAGTGAAACTAAATAAAAGCCTAAACAAAACAAAAATAACATTAAACAACACTAGACAAAAAAGAAAAACAGGCAGCCAAGAATTTCACCATCTTTCATTTACTGTATAACAACCTACATGCTCTGCTGTTGGGAAACAACAACAAAGTATGCAAAACAAATGCATTAATGATGCCGCCTAAAACTACCTCTCATGTACACTGCAGTACTGCACATGAGGACTTGCAGAAGTGTGGTGAATTCCCTATAGTAGTCAGAAGGTGCATAATAATTAATAGATGGTGAAGCATATAGCCACAAAATTAGGCTATGATCAAAGATAACTAGACATAGCAATTAAGATAAAGTCCTTAAATTTCTATATTTAATTATTTTTCTAATATTAAGTAGTAAAGTAGTAAAGTAGTAGTAGTACTTAAGACTGGACAATTTACATCCTATTTTCATACGTTTAGGTTAAAGTATTTGTACTCATACCCCTCACCTACTGTGGCAGGAGCCTGTACTTTAGGACTGAGTACTGTTCTGCCAGAGCTGGCTGAGGAAATCATTACTTTTTCTCATATCAAGGACCCCCCTGGCTTTGGCAAGTCATCTAGTGCTCTGCCTACATTCAGCACTAAAGCAGTAATGTGTACTGTATGTTTTCCATGACCCCTATGGCACTTGCCAAGTCACTGTTTGTTGCAGCATGTTGGCTAGATTTACAAAAGGTTTTTCTAAATTAAAGGGTTAAAAACATGAACAAAAAAAATCTAAATGATACATTCAGAAAGACAGAAAACACTCCTAAAGTGTTCTTGTGGTACATGTGGCAGCTACAGTATGATGGAAATTCTTCAAATCAAACCCACCTGGCAGAGAGTTTATACAGAATATTATCATAGATTTATGTTGCTTAAATTTGCTTGTTGACTGCCATCTTGTAGCCTAAACTCAGATTAGATCACAGAATCAAAGCCTACAGTAGCTAGCCCTGGTCAATACTGGGACAGGACACTTCAACTTGTCATGATTCACCTTTTGAAGGTCATGCCAAATCCCCTGTAAGAGTTAGTTCCATACCTGAAAGCAGTCACAGAATAAAGAGCACGCTTGATTGGCCGCTGTTTTCCAGTTTTTGTGTTTGTCTGTTTCATTACTTGGTGGGGACACAGGGACCAAAAAGTAAGAAACAAATGTGAATGACAAATTAGAGATCAAAAGGCTGCCCTACTGAAAAAAATCAAATATTAATGTTTACATTTTAATTTGCAGTTTCCCAATTTCACTCTTGATACAGTATATTGTTAGACATGTGACATAGAGAATATACTGTAAATAACATTTCTTAAGTACTTGAATATACTGTAATCAAACGTACCACTGCTTTCTTGCCCTTGTACTTCCTTTTATTTAGGCATGGTTTTTGTGCATACAAATGATTAATCTGGATCTCAATCAAAGTGGGCAATCTCCCAATATGGGAACTGATTAAGCAGAATCTAGTAATATTTTGCTTTTTAAGGAGAGCTACAGTATTTGATCTCAAAAAGGAGCTGTAACAAGAATCCATGCTGTCCAACAATCCAATTCAAACTGTTTGCAAAAAATAATCAGTACTCCATTAAAAAAATACAATTGATTAATACATAGTATATTAGACAATATTTACAAAAAGGTTATAAAATAGCATTTCACCTAAACAAGGGTGCCAGAACTTTAACTGGGACTATTAGAGCTCTACTTTCACTATCTTGAGTTTGGGATGGAAGTGTAAGGCTTATGAACATTTTTTGAATTACTGCATACTGTAACCTAAAAGGCAAGGTATTGACTGTAATTAGGTCCTGTTTAACTGGGTAATTAAAAGGTGTTATAGTGGCATGGGTGTTGCACTATTTCTACAGCATGCATTTAGCAGATCCAACCAGAAATCTTGAAAATCAAGGAGATGACCCTATCGGGCCCTTTGAACCTATCAGGATCTATGCTATTTCCCAAGGTGAAGTACTAACAGAGTAACCTCACTTTTTTCCTTGGTGAGGAGAGCCTGTTTTCATGACATTCCATTTGCTCAACTCTCTTCTGGATAAGTTCTCTCTTTCCCCATTAATTGTGGTCTTGTCTTTTCTTAGATTTCAGCTTTTACCTCGTGTTCATCAGTTGGATATTGTTTTGCGGTATGATACTCCACGGACCATGGACTGTGGATTTTATCAGCAAACCTTACTCCCGGAGGGGTCCTTTTAAGTACCGTGTTTGATGAGTGGTGCATGTTGGTTGGGGTATTATTGATCCTTGCATTTTTTCTGGATAACGCAATTCCCATGGGAATTTATGGAGAACCTCATGAAAATCTTGAAGGTACAGTATAAGTTCAGGCTACTCCTGAAGGTCAGGAAAGCCATTCAAACCTTCTCCGATGTTTTTCTTTAATTCACTGATTTCTTTTTTAATGGAAAGAAAAAACAATCTTCTTGAAATACTAGATTCATCTGAAGTACCTCATTAGTGATCAAATTAAAACTATTAAAATGAACAAATAAGTAATGATTATTTAGTACCTGAAAAATCCAAAAGATATGTATATTTGGCTGTAGAGAATTCCAAAACACCTTGCTGGTTGCTTCTGTAGTGCTTTTCAATATCCTCGCTTGTCATGTTGCACGTTGAGCTTGAGTCAACCTTTTAAAAAAGAAAACATTAGTCAACACTGTGTTGTTCTTCGAAATTAATAGAACATCTTACAATTCAATACCAGATACTGTACCTCAAACATATGCCAAACACCACAATCAGCCAGATAAAACCAGCACCATTGAGAATCTGAAGTGTCCATATCCTCAAGGTCAGGGACGTCATCTTCGGGTCCTCTTGTGACAAACATGGTCTGGAAATCAATCAAAGATATCAAGACATGCAGGATACCACTTAGGAAGTGAAAAAGACAGCACTAATAAAATTTAGAAAAGCCTCAGATTTAAGTATCAGGTGGATGAAAAGTTAAAGAAACTCCACTGGCGCGTGTTAGCTAATAAAACACCACATAATCATGCCTGTATTAAGAATTATTGATTAGTCCATCAACAAGCTACTGTACCTACAGTGTAGGCATGTTTTTAAAGCCGATACCAAGAAACAGCATGGAACTGTCTTCCTTTGTGTGAAACCTACAGTATGTTTTTGTCTTAATCAAAATACAATTAATTTATATTTCCTGTTAACTTTGCCCAGGGCTAGCCATAGCTCCGCAATAATAAATCCTATAGGATCACCAATGCCTGCCCAGTATGTTTGAGGCACCTAATCCAAGAATTGTATTTAGTTTTGCAAAGGCCTCCATGAAGCTCTCACATTCTCTGCATGACAGCAAGCTACAGCTGTGAGCCTCACTAGCATAGAGGCACAATTTTATTTCTGTGTAAAGTACTGTATGCACTGTACTGTATATGCGTATGTAGTGTACAGTGCATGTAAGTGGTTTGGAACATACTGTATACATTGTTGAGATTCTCAATAATACACAGAACGTGAATTAAAACGCTCTTTCCTCTAACTTGCTGCAATTGCAAACTTCGATTACGCGACTGTGAATGCTTCTTCTTTACTACAAGCTCTTACACTAAAATGTGTATAAGTACACGTTCGCTTCTTTTAAAGCTGTCCTAATCAACACTTGCAAATGACAATACTTTAAAAATTTAATATAAAATCTTAATACACATAAACACTTACAAACTTTAGCTAGCGTTAGGTCGATATTGTTGTGTCGGTGACCTTCTACTGACGTGTCTTCATAAATTTAAGAATATAAATTCTCTAAATTGTAGAAAGTCTTATACCATCCTAGTTCCTATTTCTGTTTCTCGCTTGCTTCCGCACACATGACGTTTTCATTGTGACAAGCCAATTGGAAGAAAGAACTCCAATTTCGTCACAAACATATGCTGCACAGGAAAGCGAGAAAACAATCTTTGTTTTTCATACATCATTGGTTAAATCCATTGGGGAAAAGATTCTCAGATTCAAAACTGTTTAATAAACAGATTAAGAGTTTCAAAATATCATGTTCCGCTTTAAAATCCCATGTCTGGTATAATAAAAGCATGAGTGGGGTGTTACCTTTTATTTTAATAATTCTTGTGAATAGAGACAACGGTTTTTCTTCATTCGAAAATACATTTTGGTTGATAGATTTTAATTTTTGATTTTATTTTTACAGTAACTTGACCGTACTGTGCATTCATTTACAAAAAATAAAGGATGGATCCTGTACATGTTGTTTAACAAAATACAGCAGTAAGATGTCAGATACATTAAGATGTCAAGTAAGAGTTGTGCTGGTAGAAGTAAAGGAGTCAATTACTGTATAAGGTTAGCTCTTTATGGTTATCGATTGTTGTGATACAGATACTTTTAAGTAAGATTACCAAGTCTGAGTAGGTGTGAGAAAACTAATATTTTTTTAAAAGTGGATGAAAAAAAATCACATAATTCCAGTCAAAAAGCCCAACAGGGTTAAACTACTGTATGTTGGGTTCTGATGGCTGTACACCTCAAGAGAAGTAAAAAAGGATATAAAAGAAGTCAATAACCTGCAAAACCTATTTAAGCCATATTCTAGAGCAAAACAATGTGGCATTTAAAGGTATAGCAAAAACAGCAATGTCCAGAATTGCATTTTCATATACTGTATGTCGAAGTTTCCCCTTTCAATTTCCATGCTTTAAGGAGTACTTTTAAAGGGTTTAAAAACACAGCTACATTCTGAATTCTATCATTAATGAGTGACAATCATCAGGTGTTGCAGCACTGAAATGTAAACTGTAATGGTGCTACAACATGCAAAGTTGTAGGTTTTGAGTCAAACTTCTGTTTTGCTTTAGCTGCTTCGTAGAAGACTTACTGTACCTTGTATTTTGACTTAAAATAATTAGTCCTCTTTTTCTTTACTTGATTTCAACTTAAACTTCAGTAACTCTTAAATGATTAGGTGATGTCACAGATTGAACATCTCAGTAGTGTGTATTCTACATTTCTCAGTTGAATGCCGTTTCTGAGCTGCTTTGAGAGAATGAGATACAGTAGGTAAGAAAGGCTTTTTCCTTTCCCCATTAAAACATGAATTTCATTTAACCTTTTCCAAAGAAAATGTATGTACATATTCTGCATTTAGCGTTGTGGTATCCATGTTTTGAGCAGTACTGTTGTTGCTGAGAAATGACTGAATGAGATGAGAAATGAGAACTTACTGATGTTACAGTACATATACTGTAGCTCCTGAATTGAAGAACCCATCTGCAATGATGTCATCTGTAGAACCCTTATGGAATATGTATCATCAGTCACTAGCTACATCAGGAAATGTGCTGATGATGTTACACTCACAAAAGAAATAAGAACTTTTCCTAACCAGAAAACATGGATGAACAGTGAGGTTCGCACCCTAATCAAAGCAAGGGATGCAGCATTCAAATAAGGCAATACATCAGGACTAAAGCCAGCCAAGATCAATCTAAAGAATGGTATTAAACTTGCAAAAAACACACTCAAACAGGAATTAGAGGAACAGTTCACCACTAATGACTCATGTCATTGGCAAGGTATACATGCCCTCACAGACTACAAAAGGAAGAACGTCTGTGCATCTGCCCATGATACCTCCCTGCCTAACGAGCTCAACACATTTTATGCTTGGTTTGAAGCCAGCAACACATAACCAGTCAACAGAGCTGCACCCTCCACAGCTGACCAGGTGCTCTCGTTGTCTGCAGATGAGGTGAGGAGATCTCTGCTAAAAGTGAACACATTCAAGGCTGCGGGACCTGACGGCATACCCAGTCGTGTCCTCAGAGCCTGTGCCAATTAACTGGCAGGTGTATTCACAGGCATTTTCAAAATGTCTCTGGCCCAAGCTGTAGTCCCCACCTGCTTCAAGACAACCACAATCATCCCAATACTGAAGAAAACCACAGTGACATGCCTTAATGACTACCGCCCAGTGGAACTAACCCCTGTTATCATGAAGTGCTTCAAGAGGCTGGTCATGGGGCACATTAAGGACGCCATTCCAGACACACTGGACCCGTACCAATTCGCCTACTGGCCCAACAGATCCACAGATGACGTAATCTCCATTGCCATACACACTGCCCTATCCAATCTGGATAAAAAGAACACATACGCAAGACTACTATTCATCAACTTCAGCTCAGCTTTTAACACCATCCTTCCAGAGAAACTAGTCAAGAAACTCAGTGCACTGGGTCTTGACACCACCCTCTACAACTGGATTCTGGACTTTCTGACATCAGACCTCAGGCTGTCAGGCTTTGGAAACTACATCTCCAGCACACTAAGCACTGGGGTCCCCCAGGGTTGTGTGCTTAGTCCAGTGCTTTACTCCTTCTACATCCACGACTGTAAGGCCAAATATAACACCAACTCCATCATTTTGCTGATGACACCACAATTGAAGGTCTGATCACAGACAATGATGAGAGGGCCTACAGGGAGGAGGTCAATCTCCTTACAACGTGGTGTGAAGACAACAACCTCACCCTCAATGTCAGCAAAACCAAGGAGCTGATCATTGATTTCAGAAAACTGCAAAACGGTCAGGCTCCTATCCAGATCAATGGGACTGAAGTGGAAAGGGTCAGTAACTTCAAATCCCTGGGCATCCATATCACCGAGGACCTCACATGATCTTTCAATGACACTTGACTGATTAGGATAAGATAAGATCACTTTGTTGGCCATATACAATTTTTTGTATGTGGAAATTGTCTTTTCACATGATTCACTGATTAAGAAAGTGCAACAGTGCCTGTACCTCCTAAGCTAGGAGGCTGATATGTCCCCAGATCCTCACTAACTTTTACATAAGCACTATAGAAAGCACACTGACAGGTTACATCACAGTGTGGTATGGCAACTGCAGTATTACTGACCACAAAGCCCTACAGCGGGTGGTGAAAACTGCCCAGTCCATCACTCGGGTTGCTCTCCCATCCATCCAGGACATTTATGACAGACGCTGCTTGAGGAAAGCTCTAAGCATCATCAAAGACCCCACACACCCCAGCTACAGACTGTTTGACCCTCTAGCATCTGGAAAACAGTACCGGAGCATTTGAGCTAGGATTACGAGACTCAGAGACAGTTTTTACCCCCGCACTATCAAACTACTAAACTCTCAGCCTCTCTCACCTGCAATCTGAACCCTCACGGTGCTTTCTCTCTTTATCAAAACTCAAACACACATTGAAATCTACCTCTACCTCACAAGTAAAGAAGTTCACTCCCCATAATTTTCTATCCTTTATTTCATTCTGTTGATATATGATTTTGCACAACTGATGTTGTTTTGCACATTGCCTGTTGTCTCTTTCTTTTCTTATACAATTGTTTTTTTGTACTACTTACCATCTGAGAGCTAGCTAAATAGCATTTCGTTATACCATATACAGTACCTGTGTATGACTATAATGACAATAAACTTAGACTTGAAATCTTTTTGCAAACAGGTTATTAACTCAGTGGCGCTTAAAGTAATCTGAATATGTTGTTAAACAGATTTATGTATCCATTTATGAAACATATGAAACAGCATATACTGCAGAAGTGAGGTCAGTGCACTGGCTTAGAGGTGTAATGAGAAATAATCTGAAGCTTAACACTGGTAAGACCAAAGTGTTGGTGGTTGATTTTCATAGGCGCAGAGGTGATCTATCGCCTCTTGTCATTAATGACCAGCCTGTAGAGGTGGACACCTTTGGGTTTCTTTGCACGACCATCTGCCACTCGCTGAAGTGAGAAGTTAACACCAGCCTCATCATGAAGAAAGCCCATCAGAGGATGTGATTCCTATGGCCGTTGAGATAGTTTGGAGTTAATCAGGCAGCAATGACCCACTTCTATCGAACTGTGATTGAGGGCATGGTTACCTTCTCAATAATAGTATGGTGGGACAATACAACTGCTCAACAGAGGAAACAACTGGAAAGAGTCGTACACACAACATCCAAGTTCATCAGAGGTAATCTTCCCTCTGTAGCCTCTACTGTATTTTTGACAGCTGTATCAAATGGAAACCTAAGAAGGTGTTCACAGACCCCTTCTATCCTGCCAGCTCCTTTTTTAAACTTCTCCCTTCAGGGAAGAGGATTCAAAGTATCAGATGTAGTACTGTTCGGTTCCAAAATAGAACCTACTGTATCCAGAGGCTGTTGGGCACCTCATTATGTAGCTCTTGGATGTCTGTAAGTATTATATAGGAGTGAATACAAATATAACTGGAATGGATCCTGTGGTTTTAATTTTAAACTTTGAGTCTAAGATTGCTTGAATAATGAGTACTGTACAGTACAGTACAGTATGTGTAAATGAAATATGTGTTGTTTTTGTTGTTTTTATCAGGGCTGTACTTGGGCAAATTCTATTTAACTTTACTGACATGACAGTAAAGTATTGAATCTTGAATCTTGAATCCTGAATCTAGAAGCTGAGCAAAGTGAAACATAAGATGTAAGAGAAAAGAGTATATTTTGATATCAGCTCAGAGTACAATCCAATGCAGGAAATGGTGGATGGTGTACCAGGGCGCTGTGGTACTGTTACACCCCTGTTGCTGGATATGGTTCTAAAGACAGACGGGCTTCACACATATACAATATATTTAAACTTTGGCTCCACAATGCAACATACAAAATTATAGTGCAATTCAGTCCTTATGTGGGTTCTGAAGAAATGGGACACTGTACAACTCGGGTCTATAGTGGAGCAGTGCTGTCATGGTTATGTGGTACTTATATAAATCTAGCAGTGGCATGCACATACAATACATTTGTTTAAATTCCAGCCAAGGAGGA